GTAACCTTTCCCCTCAAAATGCCAAAAGCTAGAAAGAAGCAATTCCCAGAAGAGAAAATACTAAAAGCTGACAAACACACAAAAAGATGATCAGAGGCTCAGGAGGAATCAGAGAAATGTGAATTATCAGTAAATGACATATTAAAGATGGACAGTTCTGAGTGTGGCCAGGATACAGGAAAACAGTTAAGTTTTTAAAAGCAAAGTTGATATATTAGCAGTTGGTAAGGCTGATCTTAGAAGGTAATCTGGCTTTATCTATCAGGTTTACAGATGTTCTAAATAGATGAGGTATCATATGACCCAGGATTTTCATTCTTAGGTAGATACCAAAGCAAAATTAAAACATACATCCTCACAAAAACTTTTACATAAATGTTCCTAACCACATCATTCAGGACGGCCAAGTGGAAACAAGCTGAATGCCCATCAACAGATGAAGGAATACATAAAATATGGTCTCTCTACTAAGTGGGATATATTCACCAATTAAAAGGAGTACAGTCCTGGCATATGCTAAAACATGGCTGAACCTTGAAAACATGCCAAGTAAAAGAAGCCAGTCATAGAAGACCAGATATTACATGATTCTATTTATAAAAAATCCCCAGTTTTGGCAGATCTACGGAGACAGAAAACAGATTGTTGCTAGGAGCTGAAGGGCAAGGCAATGATGGGGAGTGGCTGCAAATGAGCACAAGGGTATTTTTTTGGACTGATAAAAAAATGTTCTAATACTGATCTGGTGACGGTCACATAACTCTAAGAATGTATTAAAAGCCATGGAATTAAAATAAATACATACATACCATGGAATTATAAATTTTAAATAATATCACACGTGTGGTACGTGAATTCTATCTTGATAAAGCTATTAGTAACAAATATAACACGCCTAAATTTTTATCACACATTCTATTTTTAGAAATCTAGCCTATAAGAATACCTGAATATGTAAAAATTTATAAACAAAAATGTTCACTGCAGTATTTGTTTATAACAGTAAAAAATGTTAATATACATGTTCACCATAAACTAAAGGCAAAGACAAACTGAGAAAAATGTTTATTGCATGTTATATTATTTGTATATAAAAAATATATGACAGATCAAGCATTGACATCCTTAAGAATTAAAGGCAAGAAATATGCCCTCTTTATCTTTCACTAAGCCTTCTTGGTTTTTCCTGGGTAACACATAATATTCATTTTCTCTCCAACTGCCCGATCTATACTTACTGGCAGGAAAAAGCCTAACTATAAGCCTTAGTGGTTGGATCCACTCTAAATCACTCTATGTAAACTCATCTCTCCCTCTTACTGCTGACTACGCATTTAAAAATTTCTCCCACGATCCATTTTTTTTTAATTCCTTCTTCAAGCAGTAGACTCAAACCCTTTCTCTCCTTGATACGCCTCCAACTTCACCTCGGTCCACTCATTCTCAGCAGACTTTGAAATCTCAAAATTTCTCCCTATTTAAATCTTTCACACTTCAAATGCCTTTTTCTTTTCTCAGCACGTTCTTTCTTCCTGTTTTAGAACTATGCATCTTTCCAAGGTTACAGTTACTCCTGGCCCCATTTACTTTGATTAAAGGTGGTTCCCTCCCCCTGGCCAACAAACAATTTAAGTGATTTCTATCCCCTAAAACAAAACCTACACACACCATCTCTTGCCTTGGCAATCAGTTCCTCTCTCCCTCTTTCACCAGTAAAATTTCCTTGCTTACATGGCTAAAATATTTACTTTCTGTGATTTGGTTTCAAAGTCCACTTGCCATGCTTCTTCATGTGTTCATTTGTTTAATAAGCTTTATCTGAAAACCTCCTAGTCATATGTACTTTACCCTCAGGCACCTCATGAGCTTCCACTCTGCTGTGGTCTCTGACAAGAGGCAGAGCGGTACAGCGGCACGTGCTACGGTGGAATGAGCACGAGCTCTGGGTGTGGACACAGCAGTTTATGCCTTTGCTGTTTGACACCGGTCAACTTACTCAATCCCGAGGCTCACCTTTTTATCTACCAACATTAAGAATATACAGCAGTCTAAAACGCTACTTAGCCCAAGTACATAAATACTAGTTGCTCTCTCTTTCCTTCCATTCCAAATGCCTTCAATGACTGTCTTCCTCATGTCTGCCAACTAAAATGTAAGCTTCTGAGTATTCAAGAGACTCTGGGTTCTTACTTAGCCCCATGTTTAGGATCCTTCCTCTTACCAGTCTCCTTCACAGGTACAGTGCTTTCATCCACTGGTCCTCAAACCTGCCTCCACATAAGAATCGTCTTGGGATAATTTTAAAATTATCATGCCCAAGCTCCACCACTCAGAGATTCCAATTTATTTATTTACTCTCTGCTGGGGCCTGAGCACTGACATATTTTTAAGCTCCCTGAGTGGTCATGTTTAGTCGGGATTAAGAATCAGGGGTCTCGGGGTGCCTGGGTGGCTCAGTGGGTTGAAGCCTCTGCCTTCGGCTCAGGTCATGATCCCGGGGTCCTGGGATCGAGCCCCGCATCGGGCTCTCTGCTCAGCAGGGAGCCTGCTTCCCTTCCTCTCTCTGCCTGCCTCTCTGCCTACCTGTGATCTCTGTCAAATAAATAAATAAAATCTTTAAAAAAAAAAAAAAATCAGGGGTCTAATCAGTCTGATCTGTCTCCAGCCCCGAAACACAACCTGCGGTTTTCTCAAAATGCCCTCTCACTTGTTCCATCTTGCCCCATCAAAACGTTAACTCCTATTTAGAGTCTCTCTGCTTACCCCAACATAAACATAGTGGGAAAGGTTTTCTCTTTCCTCTGTAATACTTTATTTCAACAAGCTTCATTTCATACTGCATTATGGTTATTTGGGTGCACATTCTGATTTCCCCAAACTAGGTGTGTGTGTTTTTGAGGGAAAGCTGAGTTCTCCCCATTGGCCAGTTGAGGCATTTTAGAAATCTGATCTTAACCTTCAGAACATCCCTTTGAGGAAGGCATTAAACCTCCATATTTATAAATAAGTAAATTGAAGCTAGGAGAAGTAAAGTGACTTGCCTAAGGACTGTACAACTAGCACCTACTTATACTTTTTGTTTGTATATTAAGTTTGGTGACTGAAAACAAATTCCTAATAATTCCTAACAATTAAGGGAAAATGAAAGACATATGCCCCGACTACCTTCTTTTCCAAGATAATTCAAGTAATTGCTTAGTTTTGATATTTAAGCTATACTGAAAAAAAAATTCACAGCGAGACAACAGCTTTGAAAGCTAATGTATCAAGCAACAGAAAAGAATAAATTTGTACACATCAAGAACCAAAACTTGGATAGTGGGAAAGTAAAAAATTCATGGCAAGAAAAAAGCCTATGGGAGGATAGGGGAGGAAAAGCCTAGGGAGGCAGAATAGCCTAGCTCTGAGAGGGGAGGCTTAGGAGAATCTGCAGAATGAGGAGAAAGGAGGACCATGGTAACTAGGATCAAGAGCCAGAGAAATGCCATCAAAGTCCGGGTGGAAAGAATTATGAGCCGTAGAATTATGAGTAGCAGCAAAGACAGGGACAAGTGGGATGAGATACTTCAACCCAAGTTTAACAGGAGCCGGATATTCCTTTGATCATCTGAGATGATCTAAGATACTCCAGGCTCCAGAAACCATAGGGAGAAGGAAAAAGAGAGGGTGTGTAGAAGCCATACGGTGAGAGCGTATTACTGAAGAAAGAATGACATACCTTTAACTGGGAGGATTAAGTGCCTTTACAGCTTTGAATCAAAGTAAGGTTCAAGAATGGAATGGGCTCATTTAAAAAAACAGAGCAAGGTAAATTTGTAGTTTCTTTGTCCATAAGTTTTTTGTCCTTTGCCAGAAATCAGCACAACTAGGTTCTCATTCTAACCTAAACACTAAGTGAATGATTGTGCATATTTTATCTAATGTGTAGAGGGAGAGAAGGTAGTTCTTACATTTCTTAAATAGTAAAATGAAGGGTTGGATTGTGCTAGGGTGCTTTAAACCTGAAATTATAAATTTTTACTGACCTTCACCCCCCCTTAATATTATATCCTTTCCTGTTTTGTTAATTAGCAAAACCTATTTCTAAAACTTGAGAATAATTCAAATTTAAGATCAAGATTCACTCATTTAAATGGAAGTAAAAAGAACAGCTCAATCATAGTATTTACTTCTGCTATCTGGTGAAGTTTCAGCTCATAGAATAAATAAATTTCCCTATGAACTATAGAGACTTCCTATATAGAAGCTTCCTGTCCTATGCTTTACATACTCCAAAAAGAGGTATGTAGTAATTAATATAAGTTGAATGAGTAAATAATTGAATTTAAACTGACCCAGTCATAAGCTGAAGGGAATTTTACTCAGAACTATATCTTAGCTCTTAACTAGATAAATTGGCCAATAATGTGTTTCACTTCAATGATCTTGGGAATGTACGAAGTTGTAGCAAAGAAATAACTGACACCAGAAATGGAGGTGTGGTGGTGGTGGGGGGGGTCACTTAAAGTTCTCAGATAACATTAATTCTGCCCAGCATTTCAGAAGAAATTATACACACTAAATGTAATATAGGAAAAACCACTAGACTCATATTTCAAATTGCATTACTTATAATTATCAATTTTAAGAAAATGCAGTAGTGTCTGAGACTTACAGATATTACTGCATAAACATACAAGATTTATAGATTTAAAAGATCTATTTATTACTTTCTAAAGAAGTAAGTCATATAATCCCAATTTTATACTAGAGAAAACTAAAGGTAGATGAAGTAACTTGACTGAAGTCTAAACACTTGGAATTTGAATCCAAGTTTGTCTGCCTTCAAACTCCACACTCTAAGTGACAGTGCCTTGAAAACAGGGAAAGATTCTTCTATATTAAAGCACTTATGTTAACCTCTTAGTAACACAGAGCCATTAAGTAGGTGAATAACAATCAACCATACTCTAGGGAAATAGTCATCATCAAAGAGTAAAGACAGCAAAAAATATACTTACTCATTCCTGAGCATTCTCTATCACCATCCCACACATTAGAAACAGCATGTCCCGTCAGTAGGAGGTTAATTAAACTTTGGCTATTAATAAAAATGTAGAAGTAATTAAAACACGAATAAACTAGTTTTCACATCAAATGATCCCGTGGTAAAGCATAAAGTAATGACTTCTACATTATGTCTGTTAAGAAACAAAGTTAGGAATACCTTACATTTTTATTTTATATGCTCAACAACAGCTTTCGAAATGTATCACTTAGTGTATCATCACAATGGTATCTATTGTTCTATATGTTCATCTAAATTTAACAAATTTATCTAAGATATTATGTTTAAATGGATGGGAAGAAAGTTACTTAGACTAATAACTTACTTTATATTTATAATCATCTATAAATATATATGTAATTATTATTTTTTTGTTTGATGGACCATTGAATTTTAACCTTTGAGGCACAAAGATCTAAAGAGAAGGACTTATGTAACAGAGTGGGTTCACTATCACTGTTTGACTGATTTTAGTACAATTATACAGAGTTTGGTGGGGGGGGGGGTTTCAGAGAAAAATAAGGAAAAAAATATCTCCCTCAAGCAGGAAAGCATTTACAAATAGGTAAGGATACACTTATTTCTAAGTCAAAATGAGTCAATTGCATTCATTAAAAAATTAAGTGGAACATAAAGCAGAATTTGTAAAATTCTGTTGTCATCTTTAAAGAAAGTATGAGCCATGATAAATGCAATGCATACATAAACCTGAAGTGGAAATGATCATTTCACACAGAAAGCACAGACTACTCAAATCCACACACTTTATGCTGCCAACACTGACAAAAGTATCTGACTCAGATTATCTTAAAGTCAAGTTTCTAAAAACTTAAGTCCATGAAGGGAAAGAACAGATTTTAGTTAATTACCTGCCATGTCCATATACAGGATCTATCAAAGGTTCATTTGAATCTTCAATTTCGTTTTTTATGTTTTCAATGCCCTAAAGGAACCAAAAAATTCACTTAGTTCAAAAACTAAAAATGAAAATTACAGTTTGTAAATTGACATTTTTTATATAAATGAATAAAACACATTTATTTAAGTAACTTTTCTCCTAAAAAATTACCCAGATTTGATGTGAGAGAACATATGAGATGATAATGATAAGAGGAGCTCCTCTAAGAGTATCTTTTCTATCCTGGGCTCTATGCAGAGCACTGACTATCTCATAGGTGATAGATCTTATGGCATGTTAGCTCAAGGGGCACTGAGAGAGGTTTAAATTTCAGTAGGAGGGAGGAGAAAATTTTTAAATCCTATGAGTTAATATTAATTTAATTTCAGGCCGAAGTAAATTCAGATTTAACACATCTGCTAAGGTATCTGAAGTATTTACTTAGGCCTTTTAAAAAACTTATTAGTATTAAAGACATACACATGAGTGTTGATAGAGATATCAATTAAATATAGAAAAGGTCTGAAACAGAAGAAAATAGAATTCTGATTGTGCATTCCCAGAAATATCAGTAATTTAAACATGTACTGATAAAATAAAGTGTCAAAGTAGGAGGGCAGGAAGCTTCTTTTCTTAAAAATGAATTTTCTGGTATTTTTTTTAATTCCTCAAAAGGGCATCCAAATCCCCAGAAGTCTATGTAAGTCCAAGACTAGGGCATTTTCATTTCGTCAGCCCTGAAAGAACGAAGAATAACTGCCGTCACTGTGCTATTCACCTAACTTTAACCACTGGTTCTATCAGATTAAGGCCATTTCTAAGGATTAAAGGCATTAGTCAAAAATCCAAATATTTAACGAACGCCTAAATATTGTAGGACAATACAAACAAGTATGAGATTTTTGCACTTGCTGCCTTGTAAACAACACAAAACAGGCCATGATACAGCCAAAAGGAGTAATATGAAGAAGTGACATAATCACTGGTGAGGGAGGGGACATCATCTCAAACACAAGCTCAAGTAAGAACTAGACATGATGGTTTATTGGCTGTAAAGGGAAGAGGAGGCATCAAAAGTTTTGAGCATAAAAAACGGGGGAGGGGAGAATAATGAATAGTCAAAGCCAAACCCATAAAAGGCCAGACATCTTAAGTCCTACCCTCACTGCTCTTTACTACATCTAATCAACTACAAAGTACTTGTGGTTCTTTCTCTTAAATGTGCTTTTTAAATTTCCAAATTTAGAACACACTTCTAAATATGGTCTTTTTCTTTTCCATTTCCCTGGCTACTGCCGTAGCTTAGGTTCACCATTCAGTAACCACTCTTTCTTGTTTTCCTGACTCCAGTCTTCAACCTTACCAGCAACTCCCTCTCACACAACTCTTACCTCAATTTAAGGAACTTTGTCAACAAAAGATCTCATTATTACCTTGTCTAAAATTTTTGCTCTGTTCTAATATTGACCAAGTGAAACTGCAATTATTTTTTTGGACAGAATACAAGGGCCTTAACATTCTGAGCCTTTTTTACATAAATAAAATGCTGCAGTAATACTGAACTCCTTACAGTCCTTGTGGTGTTACACCCAAATTCATTATGCCTTTATACTTGCTGTTTCCATGGCTCAGAAAATCTTCACACAGCTTTTTCTTCTAGAAAACTTTTCCACATCCACCAAGACACTATATCCACCACAGGGTCCCTACTATGTAATGTCTATCCTTGATTCCACCAAAAACAAACCAAACCAAACCAAACCCAAGATTCAGGCTACCTTCTATTCTACCTCCCTGACTGCCCCCATGCTTTGTGCATGCAAGAAATAAACACCTAAAAACAGAGCCCGCATGGAATTATTAATGTGTCAATTTGTTTTTCACAGTACTGGTGAGGAATCATTTAAAAAAACTGTTTCTCACATTGTAATTCCAATCCCTAGCAGGGAGTCAATGCCCAATAAACATCTGTCAAATGAAAGAAGTCTGATAACAGATATAACACATCTAGCAGGATACTCAACTGAGACTAACAGGCTGTTAGAGATAGATTAGGAGTTGGGGAAAAAAAGGTAGGATAGAAGTATACGCATTGAAATTAACCACATAAAAGTAAGTTGAGAGAATAAAATGCCCATAAGAGAAAAAGTGTGAAGATGACAGGGACTGAACATTTCTTCAATATAAAATTTGGACCAGGAGAGAAAGGAGCTGGAGATAACAGGTAAAGAAGAAAATGAAGCTATCAAAAAAAGGCGGTGAGGATTGGGGGAGATAGGATCATGAGACAATAATAAAAGGGAACTAGCACAGTGATTTATTAGGTAAGTTAGGAGAGGGACTGAGAGTCACAAAGAGCTTCCAGAAAGCATTAAGGTTGTCAAATGCCAGTTACTGCTAAGATGAAAGAAAATAAAACTCAGAAGAACTGAGTGCATTTCATAATTAGAATATCACTGATAACTTCTATAACATAGAAATCAGGAGTAAAACTAAGTTTGAAAGTGGTTAAGTACTAAGTGAGTGGTAAGAAAAGAGAACTAGATGATTCCTTATCATCAGCATAAGAGATTTTTATTCTGAGATTAGAAACGGTACCAAAAATAAAATTACTTATCACAGCATGAAAACCAGTACTGAACTCAAACTAATAAAAGCCAGAAGAAGTATCTTCTTAAACAAACCTTTGTCAGTAACACAGAATACAGAAAAAGCAACACTCCAAATTTGTTTCCCCACATTGAATACTGGTCCAAGACAGCATCTTTTAATTCTGATAAACTTCTGAATGATCTCTTTCTGGGGGCGGGGGGGAAAGAATTAAGTATTAGTATTAGAGATGAGAATGACTACATTGACAAATGGGAAATTTTTAAAATTGTCTTATACATTAAACTGTATATGTACAAATGAGATTTCTGTGTCTCAAATTTTCAAATACAGATTTAGCCATTAAAAGCAAAAGCTGCTGCTGACAAATGTTGCTAAATATATACCATTAAAATAGAATGCCTACTTGGCAGGAAACTCTTCATCACTTAGGTGAACTGTCTGGCATCAATAAATTCTACAATAATTACACATTTTTAAAGAATGAAGTAGCTTTAAGAGGTGTTCAAGAAAAAAAAAAAAACTTGACTCTGTAAAGCCTGAAAATTATATAATAAATATCTGAATACCAAAGATAAGGTGTACATTTGTGGCTTCTTTTAAAAGAAAGTAATGTCGTATTTCAAATGCCACTTGTAATACTATCAATGTAGCTATCCTTACCTTTTACAATAAAAAGTTTAATGTTCTTGTGAAAATATGGCACTTTTAACGAGAATCATAGAAGGCATATTTTGGCAAACAAAATAATTCCAATATTTATCTTATTAGAAAATTTTGTATTCATTTGGGTCAGAGAGACAGTAAGCTAGAATGATTTTTTTCATTGTAAGCAATGAAGAAGCTTTTAATATTATAAAAAGGTGTTCTGGTAGTTAGCTAATTTAGAAATCAGAATAATTTAAGTAAACATTAATAAATTACTATTAAAAAAACTGATAACAAATTAATCCTCAATTATATAAATCTAAGTACCTTTCCACAATATGAACAGACTTAAAATGGCAATGTGTCCACAAGGTAAGTATTTTAAATGTTCCAATGTTACTTACTGAATTAATGCATGAAATCGCTCAAAGCCAAGCTCTTCGACAGCCAAGGCAGCTATACATAAAAGACACTTTTCAGCACTACACATGGCAAATAAATGACACAAGATACACACAGCAGGCTGTAAATACTTTCAAGCAATCAAAATTTTCCCTATTTCCTTACTCCCTTAAAATTCTCTGTTTATTTTCAACTTTACTATAACACAGATTTTTATTTCAGGATCTTAGTTACCATGATTATAACTAAAATGGATATAATACTGAGAATGCAGTAGGGCGATTAAATGATAAGCATTTATTTTCCATTCAGTCAGGCTAATACTACATAAAATATGAGAAATTATTGACAGTGCTTCACACATCACTGAAATGTGTCTTGCACTTTTAAATAATCTTCCAAATCGTAGATCCAAGTAAAATCATCATAGCTAATCTTCTTCCTTTATAATATAAAGTCTTTAGGTTAAGTTTAATTTTTAAACTAATGTGTATAAAAAGGAATAGCACTTTGAAACTACACAGGTTCAACGACAGCTTTAAGTCTGTTTCCTCATTTGTTGGTACAATTGTTAGAGAAGTTTTCAGTAACTCATTTAGATTATGATCATTAATAAAATTATAAATTAAAAAAGCAAAGGAAATAAAATAAATCATTTAAATCCAAGGTGATGTTTATACAGCACTTTATACCAAGTGCCAGGCCCCTCTGTAAATGCTCTATAGGTTTTATTTCATTTAATCCTCTAACAACCCTATCATCCCCATTTTATAGAAGAGGAACCAAGTCAGAGAAGAAGCCTCCCTGGAGCACAATGCAATGAACAGCACAGCTGAGATTTGAATCCAGAGAGTTGGCTCCCTTTACAAAGATAACAGCTTTAAAGATCTCAAACATGAATCAAAATACTCCTAATTTATCACAATGAACAATTTTATATATATTTTATAAAGCAAATCTTAGTACTTTTAAATATTAATTCTTGTCAGAGAATGAAAGAAATTCATTATGAATTCAAAATTAGGATTTTTTGAATTACAATTAAAAATGTTTCATTAGGCTCTCCTTTTCAAATCACTTTGATTTTCAAATGCTTTAAACTACTTTTAAAAATCTTTACCAGCCCAAATGGGTTAATTTCAATAAGCTTTTGATATGCATGGGAAACAAACTGAAATTGAACCTGAGCATTCACTATTGCAAACAAGTGTGCGTTACTGAAAGCCAAAACTACACACACCACACAAGCCAATGAAATTAATGTTTGTGCACAATGTACTACGGACAAGGGGAAAAACAGTTCACATGTAAAATTTCAGGATAAAATAAAAATTCAACCTAACCTTTTCCAAACTGTACTAATTGCTCTGCAGTGCTTGATTACCTAAATAATTCTACTGGGTATACACTATGAAAGTAGACATAAAGATAGTAATTTAGAGAGAAGAGGCAAGCAAAATAAAAAGCTTAGCAGGCAGGATGATGAAAAAATATAAAACACAAGAAAAAGAACATAGCTGGGAACAAAGGAAAGAACAGGTAAAACAGATTGTTATACGGAATAAAAACTTTAATGTAAGTTCTTTGCATTTGTCAACATCTAAGGTAAATTCTCAAATTTTCAGTTAACAAAACTTTTCAAATTTTTAGTCTTAACCTAAAAATAGATTTAATATATGGTTTCATTTCATGTCCACTTTTAAAATGAGGCAAAGTGAATTGGAAAACTACTAAAATATGTTTTTTGAAAAGAAATTAAATCTAATATGACCACCTAAATTAGTTACTCAAGTACCAAAGTTAATACATTATAAAGGCTATTTAACCTAGAGTGATTTAACCTCTAACTACAGAAATTATACAGTGTATCCTATGGCACGTATAGATTATACTACAAAAATACTAACGAAAAATGTTAAAAGATCGTACTGTTTTTTTGCATTTTAATGTATAGATTGGCTTTAAGCAGATAGTCTTTAAAAGAACTTTTAATTAGTCCAACTGTTCCTCTGTCAGAATTTTAATGTCCTAAGTGAAACTATTAAACGTGCTTTCATGCAACCCAGTAAAACCTGGAAAATAGTTTAAAACCAATCTTAAGATTTTTGACAATCATCCTTGGGAATATTTTCCACTTTTCTTCTTCAACTGTCATCATCGACTCTCAAAGTATATTAAATTCTTTTTGAAAGGCTATATTTAAAAGGCCTCAAAAGGAAGTTATTCAACTGTTTAAATTTTAAAAATTATTCCTTGCAAATGTACACCTATTAGAATTTGCCACTATAACTACAGGAGAAAGAAGACATTGACATTACAGAGTCATTTCAGCCTGTGGAGACAATTGTGCCTCAGGGATAATCCTACATGGAAATTGAGATATATATCATGAGTAATCAAAATTTACTCTCTGTAAATCAGGTGTCCAATCTCTTTAAAAATAATTTCTGCAGAGATGATCATTAATGGAATGCATCATAGGCAGAATAAGTCACTTCTTCAATATAAACACATGGAACTACCAATTATCAGAAGTCACATATTAGCAAGATCATTCCTGAAAAGAAAAACAGAAAAGCAATTCTTTATCTACCTTCAGTACCACCAGAAGTCTTCATTTTACTACTGCATTCTGGCAGTTTTGAAGTTGATTACGTAAGAAGTTTCAAAGGCTACAATCCACAGAAAATGTATTTTTTATGAATAAGAATAGCTTTTGTTTAAAGAGAAATCTTCAATAATGAAAAACCTGAAAGAATAATTAAACCCTTTTTTAAAACTACCTTAAAATAATCTATATATGTAGACTGCATTACACAATGTCCAAAAAGTTCAGGAGGAAAAGAAATAATATGTAATGAAGAATAATGTTCCCATCTCTGCTCTGAGAAACTAAAGATATTTAAGAAATTTTCCAATGTCGGGCGCCTGGGTGGCTCAGTGGGTTAAGCCGCTGCCTTCGGCTCAGGTCATGATCTCAGGGTCCTGGGATCGAGTCCCACATCGGGCTCTCTGCTCATCAGGGAGCCTGCTTCCCTCTCTCTCTCTGCCTGCCTCTCTGTCTACTTGTGATCTCTGTCTGTCAAATAAATAAATAAAATCTTTAAAAAAAAAAAAAAAAGAAATTTTCCAATGTCCCAAAAAATCCTTTTTTTCCCAATAGCAAGAAAATTAACATTAAAGGATCTAAAACTAAAGTACGTAGGATTATGTTCTTTAAACTTTCTGTATTAGAGTTCCAAAGCTCAGAAGAGATTGTCATCAAGCAGAAACTAACTAAAACTTATAGAGAAGTTTAAGAGATGCAAATCCTTTCTTTTTTCCAAAAATGACATGATAAACAAGTGCAATATCTTCCAGCAACTAACATAATTGACAGGGAAATGAAAAATTCTAAGGCTCGTGAATTAAGCTCAGGCTAAAAAAAAGAAGTGTTATGAAAATTTTAAGTATTTTTTTTCTTTAAAATTTTCAACAGTTTTATTAAAACAAAGGTACAAGAAATGACTTCAGGAAATAAAAATGTATCTTACAAGAATGTTCCACTTGGCAGCTAGACTCTGCACGACTCCCAGAAATACTAGCCGTTTCCTCAGCTGTCTTTCCTCTTAACCAGGAAACGAGGCAGTATGATCCAGAGTTGTCACAACAAGCACTCTCTAAAATATCACATAAGGTATGACAAAGGAGTTCCTTCCGCTCTTCCTCTAAAAATAACCAAAGTATCAGTTATAATGGTTTTCTTTGAAAAGAAAAAATCCTGTCATGGATAACAATATTAAGAATGTTTTAACTTAATAATGAAAACCAAGCATTTTAAGTGGAGGATTCCTCCCCCCATAAACAACTTAGGTTTAAAAAAAAAGTGCTTAAGGATTAATATGTCATCAGTATTAAATATGGCCATTAATTAGAAAAAGAATCCAGAAAAATGAAGAACTAAACATTAGGAGAAAGAATACGTTACTTGGAATAACCTGGTACTGATCGCTCCCCTTCCTGAGGCTGCAAAGGGAGCACTGGGAGCCATGAGGGCTCCTTTACTGCAGGACCAGGCACAATGTGAGGGCCTGCTGAGACTTCTATTTTTTCCTCATTTCTGAGTTAGTCTCATGTCTTTGATCTCCGTGTCCCATAGGGGTAAGGATAACGAGGTGACACACAGCACATACTGTACCACAATTCATTACAGTAGCAGACGCCATTGCGGTTACGCTGCATAATACAGAAGCTCCTGATACTATACTGCAGTGATCTGAACATTAGACTTTTATAGAAAGGGGCAATGAGAAAATGCTCAACTTCTTCCTGGGCCTTAGCCACCTCCCCTTTCCAAGCAGGATAGCTCTCTAACAGTAGTACTGCCCCTGAAACTTTCAAAGGGGATACGATGTGTACACACATCCTACGTAAAATTTAATGCTATGGGGAGAATTTTACTTCTCTTAATAGACTAGCAGTTCTTTAAAGGCAAGAATTAGGTCATTCATTTTATAACCACCACGACATTTACATTTATGACAACGTTATATATTTTATCAATGTAAATATATTTCTGTATAACAACTATTATAAATTTTATCAATAAACCATTGATGTTAATAATTATATCTCTTGATTTATTTTCTACAATTTATTTTGCTTTTCAACTATTAATAAAAAATACATGAGTGACACTTTAGCTCTTAAATTCACAATCATTAGATTCTATGGGTATGGTTTGGAATGGAAACGGTTTTGCCTTTATATGCCAAACCAGGATTATAATATATCCCCCATTCTTCTAAAAGTTATTGTGATGTTCACATGAAATTGTCCCCTTATTGAAGGAAAGACTTTGTAAACTGTCAAGAGGAATGCAAATGTTTATTATCAGGTAGCACCACACAGCTCTCTGACCTAATCATAGTGCAGAAGCTAGGACAGCTTCGTTTGCAGTGTTATCTGCATTGTGTAAGGCACTTTACTAAAAGTTGCAGGAATACAAAGATAACTCAGTTCTTGCTCAGAGCCAAGTAAGACAAAACAAACACAAATGACCATTCCTTAAGATATGCTATCATTTAACAGTTTAGGGAAATGGCACCACTTTTTAGTGAGAGCCCAAAGGTTTTTGCCCTTAGTTCTATTATCCTGTCTTAGACTCTTGGGTAAACCAAATTTGGTAATACACATATTAAAATGTCACTGTTCATGAAAATTTCTGAAACACCGAAAAAAATAAACCTCAAGAAAAAATATCCTGTTTATAGTTTACTTTTAAAGATAAATAATTTCAGTTAAACTATTGCCAGTGAAAGCTGCATAGATCATATATAAATTAGAAGGTGAAGGAAAAGTTTACCAAAGACCAACCACGATCATACCTGGGCAATCCCTCCAAGAAGACTTCTCTGAAGAGAACAGGAGCTTCTTCAAAAGAAATGCCTTTACACAATTAAAGCAATAATTATTAGAATGCATTGTAAGCATACCTTGTTCTTTTATTTTAAAATGGAAAAAAAAAACCTTTATGATCTACTAAATTGTGCTATAAAAATTTCGGAGTTTCTCACCACATTCAACAGTAATTGAGGATATTATTCAGAATATACTACTATACACTTGATTCTAGACCCATAAAATTCTTCTTTCATGATACATATTTTCTGACACATAGAAGAAGTGACTCAACTGACTCAAAAAAACAGACACATAACCAGAAAAGTAAAGAAACTTAATTGCTCATTCACAAAGTGAAAACCCTAGAAACAGGAACAAGTCTACATTTTTCTTAGGTTCCTCGGGGGAAAAGAAATCAAAATACAAAGGTGGTTCTGCTCTATTAGCTCTGATTTGTGACATAAAAATACACTACAAGACTCTTCCGCTTATCACGAGTTCTAACTTCCTGGGTTGACTTAAAAATATATAAGATTTAAAAGAAAAAACAAACTGATCTCTCACTTTTCCTTAAGTGAATTATACTAATGATTTGATAGAAAGCAGTTCAGTAGTGTTTCCTTCCCAAAGTGCAGTTTACAGACCATTTCCATCCTAGTCACCTGACTTGTTTATTAAAAATGAAGACCCTTATGCACCACCTGTTGTATCTGAACCTCCAGGAAGCAGATCCAAGAAAAGGTTACTTCGATGTTTCTCACTTACATGTTTGAAAGCGGTAGTGTGTTGATAACAGGACTGCTTTTAGTCAGACACACCTAGGTGTGCATCTTGGTTCCACTACTTTACTAACTAAAAATAATAATAGCATAAACTTTAAAAGGCTGCAGTGAGGATTTTATGAAATAATCTGTGTAATGCACTTAGCACAGTACCTGCCACCTAATAAGCAATCATTTCAATTATTTTAACAACAACAACAAAAAAAAACCCAAGTAATATTCTACAACATTCTTGTATTAGTAAAATCTACCAATGCTGCAATCAAGTGTTTCTGGCTTTCCCCCAGTACGGCAACAACCATAAAATTGTGGAGTATAACTACATTACAAAATTTGGGAAAAATTAGGTGGGATACCCATTATTTCACCACTAATACAAATGCTGTTAGTATTTTGATATACTTCCTTCCAGTCTTTCATACCTGTTTTAGTTTTTCTTACAAGTGAGAAGTATAATGGGTATGCGATCATGTTTCTCATTTTGGCTTTCCCACAGGAGTCATAACTATAATTCTTAATCACTAAATGTCTATTGAGCTATCAAAATTACTCAAACATCATTTCATGTGTAAACTACATTATAGTAAATTAGGCTTATAATTTTTTCTTTTACTACTATAAAAGTTTCTTATTGAATACAACCTTTTCCATATTAAGGATTACTTCTTTAAGATTCATAGAAGTTCAATGATTTCATTAAAAAAAAAAACTGCATTATGGTTCCTGTTATAATGTAACTTCCCTCCACAAATGAAAGTACAAATGTACTTATGGCACTATGAATATGCCAGCATCATCCTACCCATAATATGCACTGGCAATTATTTTATATTTAAAAATTAGAAAGAGTAAACAATAAAATCTAGTTATAGTTTCATTTATACTTTTCTGGATTCCTAGTCAGATTGAACATCTTGATTCTCTAGTTCTCTATCACTATTCCACCTGTGATGACTGTATACACATCATTTCACCACTGGAGTTTTAGTGTTTTCTAACCAATCTGTACAAGTTCTTTGTATAAGAATGACAATATCCACTTACTGCTAATATTCACTGCAAATATTTTTCTGAGCCTGGAACTCATCCTTTCTCTAGTGTTGACAATACATTAGTTTTAGTTTTTCTGTGGTTAAATATTATATCAAGAACATATTTGATATATGGTATCAGATGGTCTAAATTCACTTTTTCCCCTAAAACTGGCAGCCAATCTTATCAGTGATATTCATTAAATTTTATTTTATTCTACCATTGATTTGTAGTATGTGATAAATTCTTGGTAAATGCTATTTGTAATGTCATTTGTCCAGTATTATATTCCATAATATGCCAACTCTTCTGGCTATAGTACCATATTCTAATTTTTATAGTTTAAAAAAGTTTTACTATCTAGACTTGCTCATTTCCCTTCATTAGGCTTAATGGCTTAGTTTTGACTTTTACGGTGAGGAAAAAAAACAAACCCATAATTCTATGATTGAGAAAATTTATGTGACTATGAAACTAAATTACTACCTCAAAGATACAAGAGGGCTTTGAACATTACAATTATTCCTTGCAAAAACAGCTATCATTGTGGAAATATACCAAATTTTATAAAACTTCACATTTTTATAAATTTTATAAAATTTTATAAAACAGGGAACTGTGGTATACCTTGCATTTAACTACATTCATAGACTTTTGGTAAAAACCCAGGAAGGGCAGTGTTAATATAATCTAATTTAAATACCGACAAGATAAGGAATCTTCAAATTCAGTTAATAAGATTCTGCAAGCAACCAAAATCTGTCCCCAGCATAATAGTATAACAACTCTAATACTAATTTACAGTTAAATTTTATTCTTTATATTCAGTTACTCCCAGCCAACAATCAAACATTCAAATTTTTCTTATTTTTTTTTTTGTAATTCTACTAATGCAAAAAAAAAAAAAATCAAATTTACCCTTTAAAGAAAAATGATGACCTATAAAGGATACATTTTGGACTCAGTCATGAAAGATTTTTTTTTGCCTCCTCCTTCAGAGATAAATTTTTAATTTAATAATGTGGACTATAAGGCTTGAGAGACAAATTTACTTTGCAGCTAACAAAGTTCAGGAATGTGTTCCTTATGCCCAAGGAATAATAAATATTACATTAAATATGTATTTTCAAAACGTGCTGATTGAAACATAATCAATTCCAGCTTCTCTTAGACCAGCTGTGAAGTGACACTGCTGTTCAGACACTTTAAAGTATTACAGTAAACTGAAAATTCAATTTGTGGTTTTAACAATGTAACATTTGCAGCAAATTGGCCTTTGAAATTCGAATAATACATTAGGATTCAAATCTCATACACACACCACACACACACACACACACACACACACAAACACATTCAGATTAATACTATCTTGTTGAAAGAAAAACCTCTTTTTTTTAAATTTTGGAAATTCTGTTTGAAGTCAGTTACTACTAATTTTATTTTAAAAGCCAACAGCCTAAAACTGTAAATACAGCTTATTTTTAAAATGTGTAAGGTTTTAGAGCATGAAAGTATTACTCATCCTCAACTTTGTAGGAAAATCATTTTTACAGAAAGTACAAATGAAAAGAATATTATTGCTATGATATACCTAATAATAGCATAAAACATTATGACTTGATAGGATCACTGTACTAGAAAGATGTCACTATCATTTTCTGAAGGTCAGAGAACACCTATTATGTTTTCTTGAAAATAAAAACAGTTAAAAGGCTATTGCTGCATAACCTGCCCATGTTCTGAATTCATTTTTTATTTTTGGATATTTGTAGCAATTTACATGAACAAAAGTTAAGAGATAACTGATCATCTAATTACATACAGACACAGTAGAAAACGAAAAGTCAAATATGAAACGTTTGAACATGTCCCTCTAAGGAGTCGGTAAAGTAGTCTATGTTACCTGAACAGGTGCAATAACAGCACAGGGGCCACCTTCAAACTGTTCTAATGCAGATCCCTCTGATTCACTAAACACAAACCCTAAAAATGAAAGCAAGTAGCAAAGATTAAAAAGGTAATTCAAACAGCAGCCCAAAGAATTTTTAATGTACTTTGCTTTGAAAAAGATCACTTATTACAAAAGCAAAATATCTCCAAGTTATTCAGGCACAGTGGTTCTTAACTTTTTGGGGAAATCAAGAAACCCTCTGAAAAAATATTTGGAGTCTCTGTTCCCACCCTGTGCCCCAAATGCATGTAAACACACACAAACACACACAAAATTTGTACCTAGGGATCCTTCTTAGTGGACCATGGGGATAAAGTGTGGACCTTAGTAAAAGAACACTAAATAATTTATTTGAAGAAAAGACTAGTCCATCTACTGATTTCAAACAGAATTTCAGGATCCTTTCCATATAGAATATATTTTCATTCAAATCTTTGAGTCACATTCTATAAGCTAAAAATTAAAGGCATCATAGACCATGAATGTGCTCATACTAGCTCTAGCTCAATTTCACTACTACCCAACCAGCACTGACTAAGAGCAACTAGTAAATGTTCCTACAGACAGTATAGGGCCAGAAGTCCAGAGGACTGAGTTACTATCCGTATCACTGTTGGGATATCATTTCGCCTCCCTAGGTCTCTGTGTAGTTATCTTTAAAATGATCATTTCTAATTCCAACATGGTAGGAATATGTAAAGTTTCACTAATGGTTGTAGTTCAGTCATTCATCCCATGAACACTTAATGAACATACGATACTATAGCAAGCATCTAGGATGTATGCGTGAAGGACAAAGTCCCTCGTCTGGAGGAGCCAACAGTACAGGTGAACATGGACATATGAACAAATAAAGAATAAATGGATATGAAAACAGTATTATGGATACAGAAAGAAACGATTTACTCTGCCTGAGTCAAGTCACAATAGGTGATTTTGAGGCTGATCTTGAACAGGAATTTGTGAGGACGAGGATGAGGAATGACTTTCAGGTAAAGAAAACTTATATTTAAGGAAAAAGTTTGGTAAGAAAAGCGACAAGTTTATAGGACAGGGGGAAATTTAATGTAGCTTAAGGGTAGTATGGGGGTAGGATGGGGGAGATGGTAAATGGGAGGGAAAGCCAACAAGAGGTTAATACTGGGAAAGGCCAGACCACGACAAATACTAATTAAACTATAATATGATCATACTGCCTTTTTTTTTTTCCTTTTTTAAAGGAACAGAACAGGGATGGGACTGTTTCAACAGCCATATAGAGATGCTAACGACCTAATAAAATCGCCATTAGTATGGAGAGGAGAAACTATATCTAAATAGTATTTCTTAGGTAAAAATTAAGATTTGATGAGCACGTACAAGTGGGGCAGAGAAATTAGAGCAGACTCTGAAGTTTCTAGCTTGGGACAGTAGGTGATAACAATTGAGATAAGAAACAGCATAGAGGATCCCATTTCATCCCACCTCTGCTCTCTTAACCTTTCAATCCTTCTGTTTCAAACAGTGCTTAAACATGTTTCTCACATATTCGAAAACAAATAATCCTCCTTAAGAATCCTCCCAAAATTCTCTGAGTAAAGAGTTGAAAACTTATGTCAACACAAAAACCTGCACACAGATGTTTACAGCAACTTGAGACATAACTGCTAATACGTGGAAGCAGCTAAGCCGTTCTTCAGTAAGTGAGTGGGTGGGTAAATGAACTACAGTACATCCAGACAATGAAATGTAATGCAGCACTAAAAAAATAAATGAGCTGACAAGTCATGAAAAGACATGGAGGAATGTTAAGTGCCTATTACTCGATGTAACCAATTGGAAAAGGCTATATACTGTATGATTCCAACTATAAGATATCCTGGAAAAGGCAAAACAATGAAGACCATAAAAAGATGAGTTGTTTCCAGGGATTGGTGGAGGGAGAAAGGGAAGAGGGATGAACATGCAAAGCACAGAACATTTTTAGGGCAGGGAAATACAGTGAAACCATACTGATGGATAAATGTCATTATACATTTGTCCAAACCGAGAGAATGCACAACACCAAGAGTGAGCTGTAAATTATGGATCTTGGGTGATAATGATGTCAGTGCAGGTTCATCAATTAATAAATATTCCACCCTGGTGGGGTGTAATGGTAATAGGGGAGCCCTATGCACGTTGTGGGAGCAGAAGGTATATGAGAAATCTCTGTAGCCTTCCCATAGTTTTGCTGCAAACCTAAAACTGCTCTAAAAAAGTAAAGTCTAAGTTAAAAAAAAATTCAGCTGATTGTTAAAAAAACAAAAAAACCAAAAACTCCAACCACCACCCTCTCAAAGCCCACCTAGTTGACCACATGCACTCTTTTAATCTCCTTATAATTATTTAACCTTACAATATTATTCTTACAATTTATTCAATCCCCCAAATTTTCAACCTCTCACTGCACCAAATTCATTCTCACCAAGTTCATCTATGATCAGTATGGGCGATTTCTCAAGTCTTTTCTTATTTACTCTCCAGAGAATCATCTGAAATGCTGACCATGGGCTTCTTCTGAAAAACCTTTGCCCCTTGGCTTTACTGGTTCCTCTTGTGGCAAATTTTTCTTTTCAGTTTCTTCTCAGTCCCCTCAGTCAACTCCTCTTCAATGTTAATGTTTCTCATGTCTTGGCTTTAGGATCTATGTTCTTTTCATTCCATACATTCTCCTTGGGTAACTCATCTACTCTCAAGATTTCCATTACTGGTTATAATCAGAGAATTCTCAAACAGAGCCCAGATTACAATCCCAGATGTAAAGAGAGTTTAGTTTTCTTAACATGGTCCTGTATGATCTGATTTCGACCTAAATTTCCTACCTCATCCTTGGCCACTCTTCCTCTTGGACTTCAGGCATGCTGAGTATCTTTCAGGTCCTTAAATACCCATTTTCTGTCAGGTTTCTTACCCTTTGAACATACTGTGCCCTGCACTTGAAACACCTGTTAACCCTTTGTCACCTTAAGGCAAGATCCTCTTGGTTCAAGACCCGAAAACATGATTTATTATCTGTCCATTCTATCCCATCTCTGTCTACCCTGAGATTCAAACCACTGTCATCTCTCATCTAGAGTACTGTTAAAAGTTTCCAACTAGATGACCCCATTCCTCCCCACTTACCCTGCTCCCAATCCTTATATGCTAACCATAGAGTTACCAGATGAATACTGTAGCCTTGGAAATCAGATTTTGTCATAGCCTACTTAATAAATTGAGTGGCTTCTCACAGCAATTAAAATGAAACCCAAACTCATTTTCATGGCCTTAAAAGACACTGTGATCTATCAAACCCACATTTCCTTAGTTCACTTTCATATTCATCATATACAGTGAATTTAGAACATCCCAATGTCTTTACTTTAGCCCTAGTGCTTGCTGTTCCTTCTCTCTTCAGAAACCTGAATCCATCTCATTCTCATTTAGGAGTTAACTTCTCAGAGATATTCCCTGATAAACCTATCTAAGTAGGTCTCTCCTAGCATTAAGCACAACTAGTACTTTTCATAATCTGTGATTACTACATTACTGCTTGCTTACATGTTTAATATTTGCCTTACAGGTATCTTGCCTGTTCTGACCACTGTTTTCCTAGTATATTGTATAGTAATGCTCAATAAATGCTTTTGAAATGTTGCAAGGGAAGATAACGGGAGAGTCTGTTTCTAGGTGTGCCAAGTTCAGTTGTGAGATAACCATTTGGCAACATCTATTTATTTATTTATTTATTTATTTATTTGAGAAAGAGTTAAAGTGAGAGAGATCACAGAGGGAGAGGGAGAACCAGACTCCCCACTGAGCGGAGAGCCCGAGGTGGTGCTTGATCCTAGGACCCTGAGATCATGACCTGAGTGGAAGGCAGATGCTTAACTGACTGAGCCACCCAGGAGCTCCCATTTGGCAACAATTCTTAGAAGTGGGGAAATACTGTCTGGAGCTCAGGGCAAGTATTAGGATTAAACACAATCTGAATCATCCTCAACATTGGCAGTCAAGTAAATGAGAATATGTAAAACAAAAATAATGGAGATGGGAACATCAAAAAATTAGCAGAGGCTGGATCAGTAAAGATGGACAAAGACTGGAAAGGTAAGAGGAAAACACACTGAAGTCCTCCAGGAAGCAGAGAGGAGTCACTTGCTTCAAATGCTGCTGAGTAGAGTAAAACATAAAACACTGCATTAAGCACATCACCGGGAATACAAAAAAAAATCTAAAGCACTGGAGAGTGTAAGCAAATTTTAAAGGGTTGAGCTGTGATTCAGAATGTAAGGAGAGAGAGTAAATGCAAACTACTTGTTAAACCAATGAAGGGGAAACATGGTAACTTGAAGCATAGCTGGATAAAAAATTATTATTTATATGGACTGAAGGGCAGGAGTTTAAACATAGGACAAGAGTGATTACATGGGAAAAAGGGAGTTTAAAGACTCCAACTCTTGAAAGAGTTGTGGAGTGGTGGGGTGCGAACAGGACTGGAGAAAAAGAAGTTCTCCAAATGTGGTCTATAGAAACTTGGAAATCTGAGACTCTTTCAGGGTATCTAGTAGGAGTTAAAATAATTCTCATAAGGATACTAAGACATTTTTTGCCCTTTACACTGTGTTGGCTTTCATAGCCATGGTACAAGAGCAATAGTACGTGTGACTGATAATGTCTTAGCAAACACAAAGTGTGTCATTAAACTGTACTAGCAGTCACCATCCTAGTAAACAAAACTACCCTCTCTCAAACACACACAAAGAAGCCTATTTAACTAAAGAACGCCCTCGCTGATGCTATTTTTATTAAATTTTGACTTGAATAAAGTGTCCTTTTTAAAACTATTCTGCATGACAAAATGGAAACTACCCACAAAGCACCTGTGCTACATACCTTGATGATGACTGATCTTTGTCTCAAGAAAATGCATGTGTGTAATTTTCTGAATTGCAAGCTGGACGTACTTTTTTGAGCACTGTTTTTATTCTGAAGAGGTACTAACAAACTATGATTATTCAGACTTGAGTAT